AGCAACGTGCACACACTAATTGTACCTAAGCAAGAAAAGAATTAACACAATGCTAGAATAAAATACCAATAAATATAAGCTTAATTGTATCAATAATATACAATTTAATTACTGTGAGTGGCTTTGTAGGCAGGGTTCCAGTGCACTGCTTTTCCCATGGGGCTATACTCATGCCATACATGTTTTGCCAGAATTAAATGCCTGTCTTCTTTCCTATTGTAGAGCTCTATTGTTATTGTTATTGTGTTTGTAATTGACTCTGGTGTTAGACTGACATATCAGCATACAGTTGCTTAAAGTTTTGAGTTTTTAACTGTTTGAAGGAAAGAAAATCCTTTTTATTTTTTATGAGTGTATCAGCTGTGCAAGTGTGCAAGCACTGTGCAATGTTATCTTAACGTCAAACACAATAGCGTCACTGCGGTAAATCTACCAGTCACTAACCCGTTTTCCAACCCAAATACCTATTTTTTTTGAATAAAGTTGTTACCTTACACTAGATACAATCATTCATATACCTTACATAAATTATTGAAGTAAAAAAAAAAGAGCCCATCATCATCAATGGCAGGTACTACTCCCAAGTCAAACTTGAGAGAGGGTAGAGGAATGTGTCTTGTTCCTCAATCCACTCTCAGCAGTAGTGCCATGGTTTCAGAGTGTTGGATCACTTTAACCAAGAGGATTTCTGACATGCCCACCACCACTGCAGCCCCCCACCATCACTGTTAGTAGTATTCAGAATGGGATTAGCAGCATGTCCTGTAAATCTGTTTCAACACTCACTAGGTAATAGTATATTTCCCATCCTTTTCATGCTGCAACAACTGATTGTGGTGGACCCTGTCTTTATACCTAAACTTTTCCCTGAAAGAACTGTACACTGTCCCCCTGGTTCAGTACCTTCCCTTCCCCCGAATGTCTAGTACCGAAAGTGCCCTCCCTGGTAGTCATTCGGTTATGCAAACTCCCAAATGGTTCCCAGCGGTACTTAGCTTTGAACTCCCTGGAACTCAGCTAGGGCTATTTGACTTTGCAGCTCTTCGTCAGCATGACCTAATGTGTTAACCCTCTTGCTGACCTGACAGGAGAGCTCTATTTGGAGGGAAGGTACTACCGACTAAAGGGAACAATCGCTCCCTTAGAACCAGGGGGAGCCCCCTTCCATATGACTGCAGGAGCTTCCACTATTTGACCAGCCCAAGCCACAATTAAGCTGGAACTAATATGGGCTTAGTCCTCATGTGCGGCTGGTCAAAACTTTACCCCAGTGGTGAGTGGACAATTCTTTATGGATCCAGGTGTTATTTTATCAACTTGGGCACTCAGACCAGGGCTAGGGTATGATATGTGGGGTACATGTCTGTTTTTGCTGTATTTTAGGGGGGGGTTATGTTAGGCACTCTGTATCCATGAGTTAATTTGTTTAGTGGTTAGCAACTCAGTTGCTGTTTAGCGTGCTTCAGTGTGACCACTTTTTAAGATAGTAGCTCACACAGACAGACCAGCCATTTAGCGCATCAGAGTGGTCACTCTGAAGCGTGCCAAATGGCTGGTCTCTCTGTGTGAACTACTATCGTAAAAAGATTGAGACTATTGGAATCCACAGTCTGGCTGCCTGAGTGGTATGGGAGTCATTCCCTCTCAAAGAAGAGCCTTTCTCACCCAGAGCCAGAATTGATAGGGCTCTGGTACATGTATAATATAGTTGCTCACAAGAAAACAGACTGTCCCATAAGTTCAGCCGTGTAAAGCCCACCTTTTAAGTCAATCAATCTTTATGAGGAGATACATTTGGGCCCAATGTGGTGACTGCCACTCATGCGCAAAAGCCCCCTAATGCTTCCGATTATCTCAGCTGGCCACTCGGAAGTACCGATTATCTCAGCTGGTCACTGCAAGACTGTCGTGTCGAGGGAATGAAGGATAGTAAAACATATTTATTTATCATAGGGGTAGAGGGGTAATCATCTAAATAGTGGAGGGAATATTCTAGAGTTAGAGTATATCTTTGTATTCCTAACGCTAGAGTGTTCATTTAAGAAATCCTATGCAGATGCTATAATCACTTTTAGAAGTGTCAATTTATTGAACCTTGCACAGCAAACAGTAACTTGCCTCAAATATAAAATATTTTCCACTGTAGACACATCATAAAGGTTAATAAAGTGTTACATTTGTGTTTCTTAACTTTTGGATCTACACTCTACATTTTGCATTGCATTACATTGAGCCCCTGCTTGACATTCGTGGACTTTAATGTAAGTATTCATGCTACAATAAACACATACAGATGGAGCATAAATTAGATTTAAATATAATTTATCGTTCCCTTACTTCATGCAAAAAAACAAAGATTGTATCCTGTATTTATGTAGACCTTGCCTAAAAAGATGATAAAAATGATAAACATCAAAACTAAATATATTGGCAAGCTAGTGTTTGATTCATTTTTCCTTGTTTCATCGAAATTCAAAGTGATTGAAAATGTTGTCATGCTCTGTGATGGTTATAGCTGGAGAATGAGTGTGAGAGAAGGGTAAATTAATTTAAACTGCCTTGGCGAGCCATTATTTCTTACCCTGATCTATATCATATTCTCTGCGGAAAACTCTTAAAGATCTTGCTATTACTACTTAATGTTAAATTGCTTTTTTATAGAAAAATAGAAAAATCTAATATTGCACCCAATAATTTGCAAATTATGTGTTTCTTTAAAAAAAAAATATATATATATCGTTATAGGTTTGTTAAAAAAATTACATTTTGTTTTTTAATAAACCACATTTTCATATTTGTACTAACTGGAATTTAGATCAATCTATCAATCTAATTTATATATCCTCTTCTCTAAATCATTCATAGAAAGTTGATTTTAGTATATAAAGTCTCATAATTTTGGAGAGATTGTATTGTGTTTTATTAAAACTTTTTTGTAAGTACGTCTGAAATATGTTGGTTGGTTTCTAAAAATAAAACAAAAATAACCTCTAGGATTTTCTAGAACCTTGGCACTCTAGATGTTTATGAATTGCTTTTATGATGATGAACAGCTGACCTTTAACATCATATGAAATATAATTCACAAACATTGGCAGATCCATCCTTTAAGCAGACTCAACACCATGGGGTATTATAGTTCACAAACATCTGGAGTGTCAAGGTTAGTCATCGTTGCTCTAGACAAGCATGCAGATTTTACAGTAACTTCTTTTTTCATAAATGGTTTTGAAATGTGTTAAAGTAGCAATTCAATTGTTGGCCAGATTTTAAACAAATGTAACACTTCATTTACATTAAGTAATTCTTTTTAGTTTTGGTTTAGGTGGTATAATTTTGGATACGTCACAGTCTGTGGCTTGGAGAAACGTATTTGCTGTAAAGACTAGAAATTTAAATATGGGATATATATATATATATATATATATATATATATATAGATAGATATATATTATTATTATTATTATTATTATTATTATTATTATTATTGATGAATGGTTATTGTTGATGGTGAATATTTAGATTATTTATATTGACTGAAACAAGTAAGTGTGACCTGGAATACAATAACTGTATGTTGTTAAAAATTCAGGAATAGAAAATTAACAAAATAAATCAAGCATGTACATGAAGAGGGATGTAAAGTCCATCATTTCTGGGGGCAAGATAGTGATAGATAAAATCTCAACTGCATAAGAAGCTTGAAACATCTGCATAAAGATATCAAATCTGGTAGTAAAATAGCAGGTGTTCCAGGAAATAGAGAAGTACATAGAAATAATGGAATTTGAGTATTAAATGTGGATGCAGGCATTCTTCAAATAGAATATGTATATATAATATGCTCATTTCACACTATAGGTTCAATTTTATTCTTTTGGCCAAGTTTTTCAATGATTTGGCCTGAAGAAGTGGTTTTATCAGAGTCCATACAGATGTTCAAACAGCTACTAGACGCATACTTGCAAAAACAGAATATTCAAGGATATAATCTTTTAATGTAGGGTAATAAGTGCTTGATCCATGGATAAATCTGACTGCCTTTCTGGGGTCAAGAAGGAATTTTTTTTCTAGCTTGTTGCAAAATTGTGCTTCAAACTGGGTTTTTTGCTTTCTTTTGGATCAACAGCAAAAACAAATGTGTGGAAGGCTGAACTTGATGGATGCAAGTCTCTTTTCAGCTATGTAACTATGTAACTATGTTAAAAAAAAAAAAATTCTAATGATTTCTATACAACATTTTCCATACATGTCAATAGAGACTTCTGCAGATAAATCAATTTGTGGTAATTTGCAAAGCTTACCAAAATAATTCAATATTTGCTACAATATGCACATATAACCTCAAAACAATAGTTACATGATTTAATTTAAGTCATCTGTGCCTTAGGTAAGTTTATTTTAGAACTCCGCAATAAACTGGATAATGTATAACTAGTTTGTATAAACACTGGGGATTTTGTAAAGGTTGGATGCTAATTTGAACTAATGATTCAGTTTCCATAGAATATGTAATGGGCAAATATTATTTATGGTATGTCTTGTAATTTTTACTACTTGTAATATTACATTCATTCTACCAGAGTATTAATTAATTATATTTAGAAAGAACACTATATTTAGAAAATAGTGAACCTATATATTTCTAAGATTATAATGAATAAGGTTATACTACATAACATAACTTTATTGGCCTTATTTTGTGTAGTTCTTTGCAGAATGAGCTTCATCTTCATTCACAAGGACCCTTTCAAGAGAAAATCAAATTTTTTACAAATCGACAAAGTTGCACCCTCCCATTAGTCAGACAGCTAGGAGGGAGCTCTGCATGATTAATTTACACCTCAGCACAATGACAAGCACTGCAAAAATAGCATAGAGAATATTGTACTTGCCCCTTGCCCCGGGCTACTTCTATACCAGGAGATGTAAAGGAGATCTATGTAAGCGTCAGGTTGCTTGGCACATAAAAATATATCCTAAAATATTTACAAAAATGTGAGGGGTGTACTCACTTTTGTGAGATACTGTGTATATGTATGTATATATATATATTTTGTGAGATACTATGTATATGTATGTATGTATACATACATATACACAGTATCTCACAAAAGTGAGTACACCCCTCACATTTTTGTGAGGCACCACAGTCACTATACCTGGTGTGCAAGCACCTTGGATTTACATATATTAATAATTTTATTTTGAATATGAATTAAAAGTTATATTTTATTTTACAGAGATCCTGGAGTTCATTCCGTTTTCTGGATACCTATGATTTTTGCCGGATTTGCACCGGTAAACACAGTCACTATACCTGGTGTGCAAGCACCTTGGATTTACATATATTAATAATTAATATATGTAAATCCAAGGTGCTTGCACTCCAGGTATAGTGACTGTGGTGCCCGGTGCAAATCCAGCAAAAATCATAGGTATCCAGAAAACGGAATGAACTCCAGGGTCTCTGTAAAATAAAATATAACTTTTAATTCATATTCAAAATAAAATTAACATCAACGTTTCGGCTCACATCTGGAGCCTTCTTCAGGATGGCAAAGCCGAAACGTTGATGTTAATTTTATTTTTATTTTGAATATGAATTAAAAGTTATATTTTATTTTACAAAGACCCTGGAGTTCATTTCGTTTTCTGGATACCTATATATATGTATATATGTAAATATATCCTAAATGGAAAAAAACATTTGCTCCATTTAGTATTAGTCTATCTATATCCTTTTAGTCTGTGTCCTGTTGTTATTCTTGCTACTTGATTGTTTTTCCAATCATAAGTAGTGTAATTTCCTTGTTTTTTTTACTAGGTTAAGTTTGATTATTCTGGTTTTCTGTGTTCCTTGACTCTGGCTTACCTTACTGTTCTGTCCTACCTTTATAATCCATCAACCTACATTAAATATGTGACAACTAAGAAACAGTTGCAATAATTTCTCCCAAATTTTATAATACTGTAGATATTTATGTATTAGATGTTGGAACAGTTAGTGACATAAGATATGACTGTAAGTAAGGTTTATTTTGTCCAGAAAAGAAATAAGGTGTTGCAGGGAAAAAAAAAATCAACAATGATTAATTCCCTTTACATCAATTTCTGGCCTAATGCTTTCAGTCTGACAGCTTTCACACCTGGTTCACATATTATACCTGGCAGCATCAAGCCATTCCAGCCAGAACACTTTGAAGAGACCCAACACATTAAAAAGGTGACTGGCAATAGCATTTAACGGTGTGATACCTAGGCACAATACCATATAACTGAGTGAGGCTATTTTTTGATGTATGTAAAGTAAAAGCAATTTTTTCTTTAATATGAAATATACGATGATATAATCTTTTTGCATCTCCTAAATTCAACATGCTTCTTTTATGTTGTTCCACAATATGGTTTGTCCAAATAACATAAAATGTAGCTTTACTTTGCGTAATTTTCTTTTCCAAGTTATTATTCATGGAAACATTTACATATTGATAGCAGCTCCATCTCAGCAAAATAAGGACAGGATGTAATAGAAATGAATGTGCACAGTGTTACATAAGCATGTCCAAAATACTCCAATCTTGTAATTAGATGTAAGCAGAAATACAAACATTTACTTAAGGGTATTTTCCATGCAGAAAATACAAGTACAAACAGGACTGGGAATAAAAAAAGAAAATTGCAAACACTTGAAACTAGAAAGGAACGTAGAAGCAAAGGACACATCAAAAGAGTCAACTATATGAACCTTGTAACACTAGATTAACAGCAGATTACATGTAAGGTATTTCCTTAAGAGACCTTGGAAAACAAACGGCTAGTAAGCCAACATTACTCCAATAAACCCTTTGAAGTGTATGCTCTTAAAATTATCAAAAATTTCCAGGAATACAGAGTAGAAGTGGTGGGTGTTTTCCTTTTTCTTACTGGATCCACAGGCACAGGTGATTTCCCACCATATTTCAAAATGTAACCTGGTATAACAATGTCCTGGTTAAGATTATTTTTAGAAATCACCACAAAAAAAAGATCAGAAAAGGACAGATAATTGCTGCAGAGTTGAGGATGACAAGGTTTGAATATATTGGTGATGTACTAGCAATAAGGAACAAGAACGTTTTGGTGAACAACAATACAGGGGCATTATGCAAGGGTTTATATGGTTGCTTAAGCAGAGATTTTAAGACTAGAGAAGGTTCATAGGAAGTGTAAACCTTTTTATAGATCTGCTTATGAAACAACTGAGAATTCTGATCTCATCTCAGTGGATCAATACGGCAAAAAAACTCTACTTTCTAGGAATGGAGAGTCAGATGTATGTCCAGACCGAAGGAACTCAAGAATGTTTGTGATAGATGGTATTAAGTTAGGGGGCCTGATTCTCTATATCCCAACATGTAGATATCTTCCAAATACACGAATACCTTAGAAAAGTGAAAGTTTTTTTTCAACTTTGAGCAAAGTGTCATACAATAATGTTAAGGAAAAACCCTAAGGCCTTTCAAATTACAAGTTGTCAGACTGAGTACCTGTGGGGATGGATGATGCACAGAGTCAATAAGAATCCACTTGTTAATTACATTACTCTTTCTTCATTCTCCATAGTAAAATATGTGCAGTACCTGGCCTGAAATTCCAGAAAAATCTCAAATAATTTCCTACCAGTTGTCACTTGTATCTACATACATTTTCTAGATTTATAAGCTATATTTTCTTAGCCCTGGATACTATCATGATGGCTATTGCTGGCTGTAAATATGCTCTCGCTGTTTAATATACATGAATCAACACAACAATCCATCCATGTCACATTGCTATTATAGTCTTTAATCCATTATCTTCTCCTTTTTTACAGCATACTATTTATTTTTTAGCCTTTCATTAGGTTGGACTGATTGTCTTCAAAAAATATCTCTGATGATTCAGTGCAGAGGTAGAGTGCAATAACATGGCTACTCACTAATGTCGGTATTGCTTGAACTACAAACTTAATTTTAAGTCAATTTCAAAATGTGGAAGGGAAAACCAATGCAAAATATAGCTAATTTAAATAATTTAAGTCTTAAATGTGTATTCCTTTGAATCCACTTTGAATTTCCAGATGAAATTTCTGGAAATTTGGCAAGAATAAATCAAATTTCTTGACTAGTCAAATTAGATTCTTAATAGATTTGGTATCCAAGGTTTTATGGATTTCATGATATTCATCCTCTTTCTTAGAAGGAGCATTCAGAGTTTAATCACTTGTCTTTATGGGCATGCTAACCCCAAAAAAAATTAAGATGTCTAGAGCTCTGCAATAACTAGGCCCTAGGCCACTGCCTCCTTAATTCAGTCAGCCATCTTATTGGAGGCAGGTCTGGAATCATAATCAACCTCAAGAAGACAATATCTGTTAAAGCATTTTCCATGAATAGTAATAGTAATTTTGTAAGAACCAAAATAATTATGTTCTTGTTGAACTAAATAGCAACTGAATTTCCCTGATCGCAAAAGTTGAAAATAATAAAACAGCAGTATCACTGAACTTTCAGGGAACAAAAGACTTTAAAGGAACACTATAGGGTCAGGAATGCAAACATGTTTTCCTGACCCTATAGTGTTAAAACCACCATCTAGCCCTCCTGACCCCTGCTTGCCTCCCTACATATAGTAAAATCTTACTTGTTTTCAAGTTTGGAGCTGCTGTCTCTGCATCTGACCTGCCTCTGACCTCTCACATAATCAGACACAATATTTTCCCATAGGATTGGCTGAGACTGTGAATGAGGCAGATCAGAGGAAGAGCCAGCACACGTCAAACACAGCCCTGGCCAATCAGCATCTTCTCATAGATATGCATTGAATCAATGCATCTCTATGAGGAAAGTTCGATGTGTGCATGCAGAGGGTGGAGACACTGAATCTTGTGATGAACACTAGGTAGGGCTGCCCCAGCAAAAACACCTAACAGCCATTTGTAGAGTGGCCAGTGAAGTTATCACTAGGCTGTAATGTAAACAGCATTTTCTCTGAAAAGACAGTGTTTACAGTAAAAAGCCTGAAGGGAATGATTATACTCACCGGAACAAATACAATAAGCTGAAGTTGTTCTAGTGACTATAGTGTCCCTTTAAATAATCCACCCACTGCTTTTGATTGGCTGGAGTGGTAGACTATGTCTAGAATACATTTTTGCAAACAAATAAAGGCTGGTAAAAGTGAACAAGGTAACATTTTAAGGCAATTGGAATTATGTGTCACTTACATTGCAAGACTGCTTACAGACAGAAAGAGGCAAGCCATATTAAAGGTTTTCTCTAACCAAAAACCTGTGTTTTTAGAAAACACTGGTTTTGGTTAGTGTAACCCTTCTTGTACTGCCCCCGCCCCCACCTCCTCCCCTTAAACTTAAGAAACCAAAATGTTATCATAAACTTACCACTGTTTTAGCACCTAGGCCAAGTTCTCCATTCAGCCTGTTCCTCTTCTGCAGTTATCACTATCAATAGCTTTGGGAAAGGGATGTAGGGGCTAAAAGGGAGGATGCATCCTATGCATGCTGACAAAAGACATCCAATATGAACAGAATTGATATTAGGCAGCCTGGAACTATTGTTCAATGCTACATAATGACGAAGATGGGGGTAAAGTTATAACTCAGGCATCAGAGGGGTTAAATTTAGTATGTGCAGCCTTTCTTAGCAAAGTGCTGCACATACAGACTCCAAGCACCATGACCACTTCAAATCCCTGCTGTAGTCATGGTGTTTGAAGTAACCCTTTAACTCAGGTGTTCCCAATTAATTTTTCCCGTGGAACCCTTTGACATAGTGCATCAACATCGTGGAACCCCAACACCCCTCCCCAGGAAAAAAATAATAACATTGCACAGTTTTTTGTATGTGCCGGTGTGTCTGTGTGTCAAGGTGTGTATCTGTGTTTGTATGTGCCAGTGTGTGTGTGTCAATCTGTATCTGTGTGTTTGTATGTATCTGACACACATATACACACACTGGCACATAGCAGATACACACACCTTGACACACTGACACACTGACACACAGACACATACCTTGACACACAGACATACACCTTGACACACATATACACACACTCAGATACACACATCTTGACTCACAAATACACA